TGCACGCGCGCAGTGCACGCATGCATACTAGCGCCCGTGCGATGCTCCAGCTGCTCCTGGAGGATCGCGCAGGCACTGTATGCGTCCTGCGCATGCGTGAAGCGCAGAACTCGTCAAAACCGGGTAAGAAACATGGGCGGGCGGGTGGACCCTTCGGCGTTCCCGGAAGTTACTTACTTCCGGGTTCGCCGACCAACCGCCATGAACCGCCTGAAACCCACCCCTGCCCCAATCCCATTTCTCAAAATATGACCAAATGCCTCTTAAAATCAATAAATGCAGCTTGTTTTTCCTTCATTTTTATTCACCAAGTAGGTGGCACAGAAATCTATTCTCCTCTGTACTTGTGCCAGCTGTGAAATCTGCCTGTTCATTTTCAACAATGATTTATTTATTTTAAAATGTGCAGGCTGCCTGACTTTAAATGTTTTATGTAGCTCACCAGCAAAGACACTTTTAAAAAGCATTAAACAAAAATAAGGAATAAAAGATAACAAGAGGACAGAAACTGGACTGGACTAGACTAGAAAAAATAACCCAAGAGGTTTTCACTCGCTTTCATTAAAGGTTTGGGAGAAAACACTAGAAGGGAAAGGCCTATATGGATCAAGCCTCTTCAAAACACTAGAAGGGAAGGGGCCATGTGGATCCCATTCTAGAGGAAAGACACTGCTACAAGAAGACACGTTTCTGAAATGCCAATAGATCATATTGTTTAATTGATCCAATCCTGGTGGTTCAAATCAACTGAGCAGACTCTATGGGAGACTGGCAATGCCTCAAATGTTGATGCCATATGCTTTGGAAGGCTTTGTTTATAACAACCAGCACCTTTTCCGAATTCCATTATTATAGTCTGAAAGTTTTTATATATATGTCAAGTCTAGAACTTATTAGTACAGCTTAGTAAATGAATTGATTTGCCTTTGTCAGGAAAACCTTTCTCATCTTAAAAATTAGAGCAACTTTTGCCAAACTCCAGTCTTTAAGAATCTATTATTTATATGTGAAAATAACAAAACCAAAATTGGTGCCAGTCATTCCAGGTTATTTCTGGAGAGAGGAGGCAGGGCACAGGAGAGAGAAGTCAAATATTTCCCAAGTGCCTTTGTGAATTTCAGCAGACTGATCCATTTGAAAAAAATCTGACTTTGATACATGTGGTCAGCACAGCAGCATGTCACAGAGTTATCAGTGGAAGACTTTTTACAGTCAATTAATTTGATATTGTTGGAGCTGGATATATCCAAGGCAGCTCTATGAGGTCCAATAAATATAATCGAGCACTTGAGTTAGTCTGTCAACATGAAGTTAAACACTCATTAGAACATATTAAAGCACTTTTTATATTAGTTAATATCTTCTAGACTTGGCAAAATGTTGGCTGGAGTCAGGACTGCTGGCTTTTCCAGGGTTTACCTCCTTGTTTTCACCTCCCTATTCTTGGTCTGTGAGAGCGCATGTTTTATTAGACATAAATAACGTTAAGCCCAGGGTGGGGCTAGACAGAGAACAATAGAAGTCGCTTGTTTGAGTAAACACAATCTGGATAAAGTTTAGCATAATTGGCAAAACATCTTTCCTGAGTCATTTCCCACCCTTCTATGTAACACTGGATCAACATATTTCTTCGGTACAACATTGCAAATACACAAACATCATCTATCCATTTTAATTCTCATGATTTCTGAAACTACACAGCTTTTTACACTTCTATACACCTTTCCCTATTGCCAAGTTTAAATGCCAAAAAATTATACCAGCTTATAATTGCTAATTGCTTTGTTGCCTTTGTTGCAAATCACTGCAAGCACTTAACTTCTTTCCAAAGTCATGGATAACAAAGCCTAACAGATTTTATAGATTTGGAGAGTGCCCTTTGAAAGCGTTGAAAAAAGGGGAAATGCTATTTTAATACCAGTACAACTATGGATAGTGTTAGGTAAGCTCCCCTTTGGGAGAGTGAGTACGTTCATAGAAGCATTGTGAGAGTGTTGTTGGAGAACACACAAACCAGCATACAGAGACACTGCAGTTTAA